AAATGATTGAGGAACTGGTTTATTTATTATATCGAAAATTCTACCAGTGGAATTTCCTTCAGGCCTATATAACCTTCTATACTATCTGCTTATATTCTATACTAAGATCGATTTTGTACCAAAAAATCTCATCTGCTCTCTCATCTCTCATATATTAAAAATATATTTATAACTAATTTGAACCTATGGGCCATTGGTAAGGCATTGCTACAATCTATTTTGGCCCTGCTAAAGGTTCTGATACTGTCTTATTGTTATAGGAAATTGCCGACTATTATTATTAATGGGATAATTACTTGAGTTGAAGAAGCTAAAATAGGTTAAAATTAAAAATCCAATATCGAAAATGTGATTAAATTATAATTTGTTCTCTGTCCTTCTTGATTTACACCAACGATATTATCGAAGTTGTAAATTCTGTCGTTTATATTAATGATCGCAACATTTACACTCACATAGAAGACTGTGCAGTTTCTCTGATTGAACAAAATTGCCAATTGGTTTGAAGATAGAGATCCTTTCCACTGACGCAAGCAAAGCCTTATCAGTTCCAAAGGCTTCGATTTTCTTTCACGCTTTGGTCTAACGATATGTGTTAATATTTAATATTTGATCTTGGAATTGCTATTGAAAATTTAGATTTTGGTCTTTTACGATAGGATAAAGGTGAAAAATCCAGATTGCTGAAACTAATGGTTCGATCAGTTAAATAAAATATTTAGTAAAAATAGCAATAGGAAATTCTCAATTATAGACTTCTAAGATCTGATCTATCTTGAAACGCTCCCTTTAGTACCCCTCATCATCTTGCCAGAATTCGCCAGAGGCTCAAGAAATCCATTATGCTTATCAAAGGATTGTAATGATACTTCCTAAATTAACTAAATTTCGATCACACTAATTATAGTGTGCAAAACCTAGGTCTTTTAATTTAGAAAGGTTTCTCTACCTTTTTCTTGCATTTGTCCACTATGAGAGAAGTATTTCCCCAATCGATCCTTTACGAAAGAAATATGTTTTCCCATCGTCACCTTTGAATTTTCATTATTTCAGAAAATTTTACATATTATATCGCCAATTAATAATGAAGGTTTTTTACATGGTTTTTAAATATATTTTTTAAAATGTTAAAAATCATTGATTTTCATTAAAAATCTTTTAAAAATATGAAATTAAAGTAAAATATTAAAAATATAACAATATAAGACTTATTTATAACTATTAATGAGAATTGGCCTTTGCTATCTTTTAAAACTATAAAACTTCAACTATATGGGAAGTGAGAAAAGCTGAAAAATACTGGTTCGACAAAATTTTTTAAGTATTTCTGGTGAATATTTTTGCTCTAATTTGGTGAATTCATTTGAAAAACTTTAGCTTTCAGATGTAGATTTATTTGAATTAACATTATTTAAACAGGGCTTAACATTATTTTAGATTTAACGTTAGATAAACAAAATGTGTTACACAAATGAAATATATATTTTTTTAATTAATTATATTGCCACAAATTTGTCATTTTCAAGAAAAAATTTTAACAGAGATAAAAATCTCGATGGAACATTCGGATATCACAGCGATTATTTGAGTATTGAAGTAAATTTCGCCATTATTGCCATCATATTCTGCAAAGAGATGATTATACGAATTTTAGCACTGATTTATGGTTATTACCTTTAAGCAGTTTTCCTTGATAATTAAATATCCCTCTTAAAATTTACTTTATTTTTTGAAAACTAGGAACCTTATTTTTAGCACCAGAAAACCGCGATTTTTCAACTATTGCAAGCCACACAAATCACATCAAGCTGCAGTTATTTTGGAAATAAGAATTTTATATTACTATAATTTTATATTAAGATTCAGTCAAAAATATATATATATA